TTCTTTATTATTATTATTTTTTTGAGGCAGAGTCTCACTTACCCCAGGCTAACCTCCAACTATGAATCTAGCCAAGGATGACCCTGGTCTAGTTCAGTCAGCCCCGGGTGCTGTATCACCTCATCTGTGACTATTAAGCATTTGTCTCTAAGAGAGAGCCTGACAGCTGCCACGTCACCGTCACCATCACCCCAGAAGGCAGCTAGTGACGTCGTCTAGTAGCGTCAGGGGCCACTCTCATCGCTCGGCTGCTCCAGGCTGGCTTTCTGTGGCTGAATGCTGGGAATCAGGACTCTGACTTCCCGTGGGGCCCCTTGTTGTCATCATGAGTCTCTAGTCTGGATGGGTCCTTTTGGCCTTGTCACCTGTTGAAGAAACTGGGCAGTCTTTCAAACTTTTGTTCTGTTGGGGCATTGTCTCCATCTGTAGCCCAGGCTAGCCTGGACTCACAGCAATCCCCATGCCTTAGCCTCCTGTGTGCTGGACTTTGCACTTGGCATTTGCTACCAGGCCAGGTTGACTTTCTGTCCCTTTTGTTGTTGGGTTTGAGGGATTTTGTCTGTCCTGTTTGTCAGTCCCTTTCCAAATACACATCCCAGTATCTCCCCGTCCTTCACACTGACTTTCCCCAATGGGCAGTGTCCTTAATCATTGAAAGTTTTAAATTTCCATTAAGTCCAGTTTGTCTTGTTTTTCTCTTCTTGACTGCTTTTGGTCGCCACCAAAGCTAGCATCTTGAGTCTGGCCTTTTACTTCCCTAGGTGTTTTAGAGTTTAAGCCCTTCATTTCAGCTCTTTGAGTCACTCAACACACCAGATTTCCTGTCTTTATAGCTTGCCAATGGCCTCCTGGTGAACACTTTTCACCCAGCCTGGCATGCAGGTGTCGGGTTTGGTGTTTTGGCAAAGCCTCTTTGTGAGGCCCGGAGCACATGGCAGCTGCCTTTCTACTTCCCACGCTGCGGAGACTGACGTGTGCTCTCAGGGTTCCCTTACACCTTTGAGCCTCGGACTCAACTGCAGAGCATGTGCCCACGGGGAAGACTAATCAAGGTACAGCAGGTTGTGCCCTGCACCCTGGGGTGCCAACTTCTGTCAAGGTGGGGCGGGACGGGGCCCAAGAATGTACAGTTTTGGCAAGCTCCCTGGTGATGTCTGTCTTCGGAGACTCTACCATGAGCTGCTGTGTCCACACACAGGGATCTCCTGAGGAGCAGAGGCTCTGCTGGATTCGGTTTTTTGTTTTCTTACACTTTTGGAACCTGCGATTCTGTAGCCTGGGCAGGCTTGAACTTGTGTCCCTGTTGCCTCAGCCTTTGAAGTAGGTTTGAACCTCTGTGTCCAGCCAGTGGTGGTATTCAGTCCATCCCAAGATTCCGAGTTGGCAGCCCCTGCCGACCCTATGATCAGCCCTCAGGTTTTCCTCCTCTCTTACTTGGCACTTTAGGAAAGTGTGAAGAAGTGAGAAGAGGTTCACCTCTTCTCTTCACACAAGGCCGCTTCGAGAGCAGTCACCCAGATATTCATCCCTTGCCTGGACGCTAACTGAGCCAGCCCTGGATAGAGACTGGTGATTGAATGAAATCATAGTCACCTCTCTTCTGGAACTTTCTGCTTCAGAATGTTCTAGTCCGGTTTAGGAAAGCGTGGCTCTCTCGTTTCCATAGCTTTCTCTTTCACAGGCAAGTGTCCAAGTCAGGGCTCCCAGGAACTTAGCCATCACCTGTGGTTGAGTGACCAACTTGTGCCCGTCTACCTGGGACAGCCTCAGGTTTGGGGTTTTGTTAGTTTTGTTTTGTTTTCTCTTCCGGTCCTAGATATTAGGCCTGGGGGCCTTGCGCATAACAGGCAAGTGTCCTGCCGATGTGCCGTATCCTCAAATCCCTCTTGACACTTGTTTCTTTCCTGAGATGAGAGTCTCACTGTGTAGTCCAGGCTAGCCTCAAAATTGTGGGCAATCGTACCTGAGCCTCCCCAGTGTCGGGATCCAGCTGTCAAGCCACCCCACCCAGCTCCTTTTTCGTGTTTTTATTTTGAAACGGACTCTTCTTTGTTTCCCAGGCTGGTCTTGAACCTGAAATCCTCCTACTTTGGCTCCTTAGTTACAGCACAAAAACCCCTTGTTCAGGGAGCCAGCCATGGTCCTTGGCAGACTGGCACAGCTGGTTACTCTCCAGAGGAACTACCAGGCTTCCTCTTACTTTGAAAAGGGGTGGGACACTTAGGTCCTAGATGCTTGGGTCTCTGTGACACTTGAGATCATTGCTGGCCTGGAGAAGGCAGAATTAGAAGATGCCTTGTGCCAAGATGTTGTGGTTTCAGTCAGGGCTTGGCCTCAGATTGAGACTCTGTGTTGGGAAGACATTTACCAGAAGGAACTGGAAGCTGTGGTTTCTCCTTCTTTCTTGTGAGGAGACAAGATACTCTGAGAAAGGACTGTGGATGCAGAGGCATAGGTGCATAGCCTTGACCTCGAAAAGGCCTCATGAGGCTCTCTGATTGGCTGTGCAGACTAGCTGTCCCGCTTTATCTGGTATGGATTGGGCCCTCATTCGGGATTCTGGGTGCATTGCAAAGAGGGTTGGCAAAATGGCCTAGCAGGTAAAGTGGCCTAACCTGCAAGCTTGATGGCTTGAGTTCAGCGCCCGGAACGCATGCAAAAGCCAGATGCTACGGTGCACATCTGTAATACCAGCACTTCTACAGTGAGATGAGAGGCAAAGACAGAATCAGCTGGAAGCTTGGGTCCCTGTGGCATGCAGAGGGTCCCTGTGGCCTGGTTGTAGAATCAAGACCTCCCTCAACAAGGTGGAAAAGAACCTCAAGTTGTTCTCTGACCTCCTTGGGGAGGTTTCTCATCGGGGTTGAGGCCAAGGTCAGGGGCATGATGCGCTCTTCAGTAACAGCCAAGGATTGTCGTCTGTGTGGGGTGTGCCTCTAATCAGGTTTTATTGTGTTAATTCTTGGTCGATGAAGGTCCATGTCAAATAAAGGAGATTGATTTGTCTTGGTTTTGTGAGGCAGAGCGTTGCTGGGTAGCCCAGGCTAACTTTGAACTTTCTGTGTATCTCAGGCTGGGCTTTGAATTCACTTGTAGCTGAATCAACCAGCCTATGATAGAAGGTGGTGTCTCAGACTCTCCCACAAAGCACTTACAGGGAGGGCCTCTGTGCACACTAGGTCAAATTTAAGAGGAAGAAACAAAAGAGAGACTTGAGCTAGCAGATGTGGAGTGGTAATGGCAGACTCCGGCCCAGCACACCCGTCCTCAGACCAAATCAGGTAATGTCCTTCTTGCCACGAGGCTGCCCACAGTGGCACCAGGGAATACTCCGCTGGGTGATCTGTGCCCCTCCCAACTTGGGTTCTGTTTCAGCTACCTGGAGAGCTGGGTGGAGAAGAGGGCCTTGGAGAGCAGGCAGGGAAATTGCGGCTCACCCCCACAGTCCCTAACAGCCATATCACTCTCATGGGCACGTCACAGGAAGAGGACTGGCTTTGGCTTCCCACATTTGTTGCTCAGACCAGTATAGTTTCAGTCACGTAGCTTCCCCTGCGCCTCCATTTCCCATCACCAAATAGAGATGGCACGCCTCACATCAGGAGGGTTGTAGGGGATGTCATAGTCCCCAGACATTCCACAGCCAAACTTTGGGAAATAATCCCAGGGGTGTTAAACCTAGAGCCTACTGAAGCCTTTGTGAGGTGGGGGAGAGTCCCTGCCCACAGCCTAATCCTGTGGCACACGCAGGATGGCAGCAGAGTGGAAGCTGTCCCAGTGCCACTCTCAAGGGGGCTGCTGTGCAGGGGTGTGGGCCTACAGTCCAGACAGGTGCCTGCTAGCAGGGGAAGTGATACTATTGCTCCTGAGGTGCTGAGTCATCGAAGCCACACAAGCAGGCAGGGTCCCTGAGCAGAAGGTCCCTGAGCAGAAGGTCCCGAACACGCTTGGGACAATGCCAGCACCCCAAGAGCTCTCTGATGGATGCGGGGCTCGTGCACAGGTGTGCACACGGTCACACAATAAGGGCCCTCCCAGAGGGGCTGACCTTAGAGATGCCATCCTTCCCCACTTCTGTGACCTCCCCCCCCCCCCCATTTCAAAGGTCTGGACAAACCTTGGCAGTGGAAATAAGGACCTGGGGCCGGGCAGGTGGGTATTCACAGTCACGGTCACATTGCTCATGCTGGGTGGCTTGATCCACGGAGGCCAGCAATTCCCTTTCCAGAGGGGAGGCACAAGTTTATGAGACTGGCTTGTGGTATCCCATTTTATAGATAAGAAAATGGAGACTCAGTGAGTTGCAGGCCAGCCTGCTCTACAGACTGAGGGACCTTGCCTCAAAAAGAATCGGGAATGAAACCCAACCACCACCCAAGCTGTACCTGAGGGGTGGTCTCGTGCGGCAGTGAGCCTCACACTGTTGGTCCCTCTGTCCCCTGCAGATGTCATGGCACCCCCAATACCGCAGCTCCAAGTTCCGACATGTCTATGGCAAGCCTGCCAGCAAAGAGAACTGTTACGACTCGGTGCCCATCACACGCAGCGTCCATGACAATCACTTCTGTGCAGTGAACCCCCACTTCATCGCTGTGGTCACTGAATGCGCCGGCGGGGGGGCCTTCCTCGTCATCCCCTTGCATCAGGTAAGGACCCTGCAAGGTGACCACAGGGCCTGGACTCCTCTCTAGATGCCTGCCAAACGGATGGCAAGGTGAGAGAGCCCAGGTCTCCAGTACAGACATAATTGTGAAGGCCTGGCCTGCTTTACTAGTTGTGTGAGCTCAGGTCAACCAGTTCTTTGAGTCTTGGTTTCCTTCTCGGGAAAAGTCGTCATCCTGAGAGCTGAGCTTTCAGCAGCTGGCCTAGCCACTTCTAGGACCTTCTCTCTTCCAGGCGGAGGAACAGTGCTCAGTCCAGATTTTTCTCTCTTGAATGAATTATAGTTGTTATCACCTTGCTGGGCCCACATGAAGTTGGGGAGATTGCCAAAGCCACCTCCCCTTGCCGAGAGGTAGGGGGTGTTTCCACAGAAACAAGTGCTGGAGAAGTAGCAGCAGGCAGAAGGGAGAACATGTCCTCAGAGGCAGGAGTGAGTATTGCTGTTGTTCAGTGTTTGGGCCCCAGAGTGACATCGTCATATAGATCACCCTAAAGGGAATCTTGGCTGGATATGAGTGCTGAGCCTGCCCTTCAGCACAGTGCCTGAAGAGACCTGGGGGAGTGAAGATCCCCAGGCTGTGCTCCCACCCATGGCAGGCGTGGAAGCCCAGCCACAGGATAGCGGCCCACAGACTTAGATCAGGACACTGGGGAGTCACAGAGACTGGTGAGCAATTCAAGAGGTCAGGCAAGAAGCAGACCTAGACCAGCAAAGGACCTGTGCAGTCAAAGCCCTGCATGCGATGAGCAAAGACTTTCCTGGGCACAGAGCAGCAGGGGCAGAAAGAAGACGCAGCAAACGAGCTAGAGGAGGCCCTCTGTCCCCACTCACGTGGGATGTGTGCTTGCCTGTTAGAGACAGGGTCTCTTGTAACCCAGCTCTTGGACTCTCCCGGTAGCCAAGGTTGGCCTTGACCTGATCCTCCTAAGTTTACCTCCTGAGTGTTTTTGCAGGTGTGTGCCACATTTCCAAATAATTTAAAAGCCAGAGGGTTATTTTGTTATTGTTGTTTACTTATGGGGCATCTCTCTCCGTTTCTCTCTTTCACTCTCCGTTTCTGTTTCTCTCTCTCTCTCTCTCTCTGTGTGTGTGTGTGTGTGTGTGTGTGTGTGTGTGTGTGTGTGTGTGT